TTTGTAGTAAGTTTTCAAATCACGTTGGAGAGTTTTCCAGTTTTGTTCATTTTAAACATTGTTTTGGTTATTCAAGGTCACTTGAGAGTGCTTCCAAAATAATTTGTTTAAAATTTGCACACCTTAAGGCTCACTCTTGTGAAATCTGAGATTTGACGATGTGTAGCATCACATATCCACCTTCACGGCATCATACAGAACATGTAGCCATCTTCCTACATAGTCCTCCACTCTCAAGCCATGGAAACTTATTGATCTGCTTTGCTGCTACAGTTTTGACGTTTTACAACTGCTGTAAATGGAATCATGCAGTACATAGCCATTTTAAGACTATTTGCTTTTTTATAATATAAATTCAAGATCTACCCACAACTTTGTACTTTCTGGCTTTGTTCATCACACTCTTAACTGAAAATAGTGTGGAGGGGGAACTTTATGTCCTAAATTGTATAACTCATAATCTCATAGATATCTATTTGATATTTTTCTTTTAAGGCATCTGGTCACACAGTAGCCTTTTCTGTGGTCCCTGTGCAGCACTCAGTTGTTTTCCTCACTTCGTGAGCAATTTAGTTTTTTGCCCATAACTGTATAGCTGATCAACAAACACCATAGGACTTTTTAGTTTTTTGTGATCTGTGCTAACAGCTTTTCAGACTTTACCTTCTAGATACCTGTGTTAGTCTCTTTTATGGTTGCAGCTAACATTCCTCTCTCCTGACATCATCAATTTCTCCTCTCTTTATACATTCTTTAAGGTGTGACCTCTATATCTGTATTCTGCAACAGTGTTATGCCTCTCCCCTAGCAGGTATTTAATAAATACTCATTAAATAGATAAATGAATGATTGGGTATAATGAAAGAACCAGATGGCAACCAAACCAACGTAACAGCAACAGCACACTATATTCCATCCACTTACATATACAATTCTTTCCTATATAATCTTTCATTTAAAATATATTTGAAGGCCTCTTGTAAAAGAAAAAAAGGCCTGAAATCTGAGATACAATCAATTTATATAGAACACATGATATTTACACAACATTACCAAATAGTAACATGCTAGTGAACCTTGATAATGTATGTCAGAGGTTTTCTGCATTAGCCCAGAACATCAGCATTACTATAAACATCTGAAATACAGTATATAAAATTTGTTTTCTCATAAAATGTTTCATGGCTTGGTTTGGGGAGTTGACTTGCCATAGTGGAATCATTGTCATCTATATTATCAGTAAAAGGAAGTTTTTGGCTGTTTATGAAATAATTTGCTTAAAATATTTAATATTAATATAAAATTAAGTACTGGGTTTCCAAGTAAAAATATTTTAGAGGACCCTCATTTTACATATTGAAGTTTGAAGATATGGTCCAGTCTTTGGACTTCTCTTACAAAACCAGTGTTGCCTGAATACTTGATACCTTCAGGCTGTGGACATCAGCCTCTAGCCAGGTCCCTAATTTCAATGTGAAAAAACTTGATATTTGGACAGTAGGAATAGGGTGAGTTCTTAAAGTTCTCCTCCTGCTCATTCTCCTGTTTTTTCATTTCATTCTTCTTTTCCTTCATCAAAGTATTTGCCCATGTTTTGGGCTAGAGAGAAGGTTGTGCCCCAGAAAAGCGTAATTTCTCCTCAGCTAAATCTCACATTTGCAATCATCGTTCACCTGCCCAGTGGTCTGTGTCAGAAATGAGATCTTAAGAAACTTGTTGACCTGAAAGTCAAGAACTCTTCACCTTAGGTATTTGTCCCTGGCTGGGAGTATTTTCTAAAAGCACAAAACTGTGTATAAGTAGAATATTACAAAAATATATAAAACTTTTTTTGTAGTTTAAAAGAGAATGTTCCACTCTTTCTCATATTTTGTTGCAAGGTAGTTTCCCATATTTTCAACATTTGAGATTAGAGAACTCTTTTATATCTTTTACTTTTTATAGCTTGTACTTTTCCTAGACCCTTCCATTTGTAAATTTCATGCTGTGAAAATGACAAAGAAGCTGCTACTAGAAGTTAATGATTTAGTGAGTAGTAGTTGGTGACACTTCAGTTCCCTCAGGCATGGCAAATCATTAACCCCTCAGGGTAGCAATGAAAAAGGGATGAGGAATAAAAGGTGAGATGGTAATGGATTATACAAAGCCTCCCCAAAACTTTGCTTCTCAAAATGATAAGACTGTTTAATATACAAATAAACACTTTCCAACCTTCCATGTGTAGTATAAATACAATTTTATGTATGTAAATAGTTTTCACAATTTTAAAGATGTAGACTACTTGTATGCTGCCCTTAGATGACATGATAATCCAACTCTCTGATGTGCATCCTACTCTAATATGAAATCTGCTAATTTCATCTTCATGCCCTCTAATATCAATATCACAGACTGGTAATGTATTTACCAGCAGAGAGAGAGAGAGAGAGACTTAAGAGTAACTGGTTCATCATTTTTTCTTACCTGATTGTGACTTCAAAATGAAAACCAATAGATTGGGCCAAGAATTGTCAAAAACATCACTAAGGTTCCTTTGTAACCATATGCAGTATTTAGCACTGATACTTTTCTTTTTTTTTTTTCAGTTTTAATTGAGTTTATTGGTACATTTTAGGGATACAGTACAGTTACATTCATTGTTGGGATCTTGTACCTCTACATGACAAGTCTTGATTAGGGAAAATATATACAGTATTTAGTTGCTTGGGTATTTCCCTCAGAACATTTCTACTTTGACAGATGACCTACAGTTTCTGAAAACATTTTAGGATCAGAATTTGTAGCCCTTGCCTCCTCCCCTTCGGCCTCCTCCTCCTTTTTTTTTTTTAAAGGCAGAGTAATCTCACTATGCAGATCAGGCTGGCCTTGAATTCACTATGTAGCCCAGTTTAGCCTTGAACTCACAGCAATCCTCCTGCCTCAGCCTCCCAAGTGCTAGGAATGAGAGATGGATGCTAATCTACAAACTATGCACATTTCTTTCTGCAGTGATAAATTCTGAAGTTTTCCAGACCTAGAAAATGTGGTGTAGTCCTTTCTACATTTTCAAAATTAATGGCTGGTTTTCCAGACTGGGTAAATGGGTGTAATACCTCAAGGTATTCCTACTGCATCATGTGTGTTTCTCCTTTTACAGGTTTCACATCCTCTTACATATTATTTGTTCATGTTCTTGTGGTATCAAGCAGCATTTTACACTTCTCATTTTCATCACTGTAACTTTTGGATAGAAGGAGACTTCATTGCTCTTCTTTCCACTGACTTCTGTAATAATTAATCTCATTTTCCAACAAGAATTTTAAGACCTGACCTAAATATTCTAATTAGTCCCTAATTAACACATGACCTTCTTTTTTCCCCTTTTCTACCGTGGATACTCATAAATGTGATTGAGTGTTTCTTTCAAAACAGCAAATTTTCCTCTTTATGGTTTCTAGGACTGCATTTACTCAGTTGTAATTCCGAGAGTCATCCATCTGAAAGGTCTACCTAGCAAAGGACACGGATCGTGAAAGTGGCAAGAATGAGACTTATGGTTTTCTCTGCAGAAGGTGGCACCTTTTGCAGCAGAGCTCAATGCCTGGCTTCTACACAGACATGATGCTTTTATCTGATTGTGAAATAGTTTTTTACTATGCAGGGTGATGTTAGGAGTAGTAAGAAAATGTTTTGGAAAATTATTTTTGCGTTGATTTTTAGGTTTCTTAAGACATGCCCTTTTTCTGAACTCTTCATTCTGATCTTCCCCATGTACAAATATGTCCTGGCAACTTCTTATTAAATATTAGCCTGTTAGAGCCACATGACAGGTCAAATAGCATTCTCATTTTTTAGAAATTTGGGAAAAACTTTAAAAATTGCTCTTTCCTCAGTGCTTTTGAGGTTTTTTTAAAAATTAATTTTATTGGTATACAAGGTAGTGACATTCATCATTGGAAATTTGCACTTTTACATAATCCATCTTGGTTCTTATTTTTTCCCCATTCCTCTGCCCTCCCTTCAATGCCTCCCTCCCTCCCTTATCTACAAAGACTTTGTTTCATTTTTATTTTCTCATATTAATTCCATTCCCTTCTTTGTTTTCCCCTACCCCTCCCATTTCCCCTTCCCCTTTTCACCTTTTCTTCCTAGTTCACATTCTATATTATACTTTTTAGTCCTTACTTACAATTTCAGTTTATCACACTAGAGAAACTATTCGGTATTTACGCATTTGTGTCCTATTTATTTCACTTAATAGTATGGCCTTAGTGTGCATCCACTTAGCTATAAATGTCTCTAGTTTCTTGTTCTTTATGGCTGAGTAGTACTCCACTTTATTAAACAAAAAACCCTACACATACACATTTTCTTTATCCAGTCTCCCGTTGATGGACAATTGGGCTACTTCCAAGTTTAGCTATTACAAATTGTGCTGCTATGAACATGGGTGCACATAAATATCATTGTGCTCTGATTCTTTTAATTCTTTTGGGAAGATACCCAGCAGGGGGATAGCTGGGTCAAATGGGACTTCCAATCCCAGTTCTTGGAGGTATCTCTATACTAATTTCCACAGTGGTAGTGCTTTTGAGGTTTTAAGTCTATTGGGTATCAGATAGTGAATCATATATTTTATATTTTTAAAATTACAGCTATGGTAATGCAAATTGATTTTTCTTCAGTATCCATATGGTCACTGATTTGAGTACATCTTCCCCCAACTCCCTTTCAACATGTAGGCTTATGAAAGGAGGAAAAAAAAAGTCAACATTCAGGGAAAAAAAGTTAATTTTAATTGATGTAAATCCACAGAATCCAGTAATGTTTGGAAAGTCTTGGGACATAGTAATGTTCTTAAGAAAATCTAACATATTTACTATATAAAATTTAAACCCACTACATGTTAGTCCGCTATGTCTTTGTAAGCTGAAGATGAAAACGTATCAGATTTTAGTCCTCCAAAAACCTTGGGAACTTTCACCTGAAAGTATCATCTGATTCTTCCTTTGTCCCCACAGGTGGCCATGTTTGTGCTACAACTGGGCAGTGCCACATTCCTGCTTACAGAGCCTGTGATCAGCGCGATGACAACTGGGGCTGCCACCCATGTGGTAACTTCGCAAGTCAAATATCTCTTGGGAATAAAGATACCATATATATCTGGACCTCTTGGATTGTTTTATGTGAGTTTTCCAAAGGTCTTTGTTCTTAGATTTTGAGTGTATTTTTCACAAAGGAGAATTCTCTCAGAGAGAAACCTCTGAGGTTTCTCTATATTATGACACCTTGGGTTTATGTAAAATCATCAAGGGCATTTTAAATATAACGTAGGGTGTGAGGCTAGTTTAAGGAGTAATATCTATTAATGTTGGAACAATCGTCATGATAACTTACTGTTCTAATTCCTGTGATTGAGTTGGTTTCTGTTGTTTCTCTACTATATTTGGCTTCCTGAGAATTTGCTGCATTTCTATATTATTGCCTGCATTGCTGATTATTTTACTAGAATAAATTCCTAGTAATTGAAATACCAGATCCAATGAGTATAATACTTTTTTCCAAATTTCAATACAAAAATTGTACACATAATATTTTACTCTAGCTTTATTATTGTCAACTCTATTTTTAAAAAACTGCGTGTTTGATATGTGAAAAAATGGTATCCATTGTTCAAGCAAGGGTTTCTCTGATTAGGGGGTTAAATAGTTAATAAAAATAGTAATTGGCTGCATGGAATTGGAAACTGGTTCTCAATTTTGTTCCTTAGGTAATATCCGGCTCAGTGATTCATTCATTACAAGAAAGCTTAAAACCAAAACAAGAAAACTGGAACTGGGCCTGGAAGCAACATAATCCCAAGCTTCAGCTCAAACAAAATCAGAACAGAGTAGCTGTAAGCTGTCAGATGACTGGCTGAGAGTTAAGACTTTCAGTGACACCACGGGTACAGCACAGAACAAAATCGGTTAAAATTGTGCCTTAATCTCCTTCCTGGAACAGTGTGTTTACCTTGCATGTATAGAGTAGAAAATGCCTGTGGGTTACAGTTTGGCCTCTTTAGTTATTTATGCAGTTATAGATGTTCACCTTTCTTTTTGTGAGTTGTGTTAATGAATCAGGATAGCCTGATGTGGGACTATTTGTTTTTCAGCATGGTTCTTTTGTGGCACTTTGCATAAACAATATACTAAAGAGTTTTGTGTAGAAACTTTCTTCCATTTTATTTTCTTGTGAGAAAAACTGCAAGCTACTTTAGGACTTTAGAGATCTGTTATAAGATCTCACACTGAAACAGAATCAGATTTAGGAATAATTCTGGACAACTAATTCTACATACACATGATCTAGTTAGTGTAATTACTATGGTTGGAAGTGAATTAAAGTTTCTCTTGCTTTTGAGCATCATAGAGCCCTACCCTGTTAGGAATGGTGCTTTGTTCTTTGCCAGGGTATTGATCGGTGCTGATCCTGCAGTGTTGGAAATACTTGGTGATTGGAGCATAGTTTACACTGAGTTATTTCAAACGTGAGCTTTGGAATAGTTCAGGTGAGAAAATCTGGTGATGATAATGTAAATTTGAAGTTGCTTTTAGATCACTAGGTGCCTGAAGGAGAATAGCTAAACTCAGCATGAAGAAACAGGGCAGAGGACATCATAGAGGTCTTGACCGTTGAGTTAAAGAATCTAGAGCAAGATGAATTAATATGTTCTTGAGAATTTTCACTCTTTAACTTTAATTCTTACTTCTGTGTTTTCACAACTAATCTTTTTGAAAGCTCTTCAGACTGATGAGAGATAAAGAATATATCACTGATATCCCTTGGAACATAAATTTATATCTAGGATAAAAAAGAATCTTGTTGTGTGTGCTAGTCAGCTTTCTGTTGTTTCAATAAATGCCTGAAATGATCAACATATAAAGAGAAGAGATTTACTTTTGGCTTCCAGTTTGAGAGGTCTGCCCAAGTCAATTGGCCCTTTTTCCAAACACTCTTGCCCAGTGAGCCAGTCACAATCTTAATAGTGTCAGGTAGGATGCATTTTTATCACAAGAATTCAAATTTGGCAGACCAATATGTTCAGCAGTCAATTCTGGCACTAGAAATCCTTACTGTCAACTTGGAGAAAAACGACCCTTCTGCCTGCATTCTGCTCCTAGGTGGGGATTGCAGTTGGGGCTCTGTCCCTTCTGCTACTATGATGTCTACTACAACATTTCTACGGAGGCTATGCCTGGTTCTATGCTATGAAGAAAATTCAATTTCCTGGTTTGAATAGGTGAAGTCTTCATCCATGCTGATGTTCTGGTCTAGTTGGTGTACTAACCTCAGTGGAACACTTTTAGGGAATGATTTGACTCAGATATAGGAAGTGTCAGCTCTGCCCTATTATGGGAACATAAACTTATAACACTTTGATTTTGAATTCCCCTCAAAGGCCTTAGGTTAAAGGTTAGGTCCCCAACCCACTTTGCTGTTAAGAGGCGGTGGAGCCTTTAAGAGGTGGTACTTAGTAGTAGGTCTTCTACTTATTTGGGGTGCAAATCTGAAAAGAATGAGAAATGCTAGTCTTCTCTTCATTTTTTTTTTTTTTTTTTTTTACTTCCTGGCCATGAGGTGTGCAACTTTGTTCTGTGTACTCTGAGGTGCCACCTAGCCACAGGCCCGCAGATAAAAGGGCCGACTGACTTAGACCTCTCAAACTGGAAGCCAAAAAATTCTCTCTCTTTATACCTTGATCATCTTAGGCATTTATTACAACAGAAAGCTGACTAGCACAAGCCCATATAACAAACTCTACAAAGCTTTTTGACTTAGACCACTCCTTTTCTTCTAGGTGAAAGTTGTTAACCAGTTTCTTCAGGTGAAGGGAAATCCTATTAAGATTTTCCCTTGGTACTGAGTTCCCACCTAGGATTTTACTGGTCCACATATTCAAAGAAAGTCTCTGGAGTAACTTTCATGATTCTTCTAAATCCCTAAAAAGATTTAATTTAACCACTTATCTAACTTTTCTTACTTCCTTCACACAATACTCTACTTCTCCCTTTGTTCTTCAGAATTTTTTTCTTTTGTAATTCATATACTTCTAATAAAACTTTCCTTTAACTTACGGTTATTTTTAATGAATTTGAAATATATTTCAATACATTCTTCTTCAGTTATATTTTGAATAAAATGTAACATTTTCTCTGAGTTAAGTTTTAGCTGTGGTGATTTTATTAGCGTCTGTACAGTCGAACACTAGTTGATAAGTCTATTTTTTCCTAGAAAGGAGTAATGTAGCAAAAAACATTAGAATCGGAGAAGTCCAGATTTAGATCACAGCTCCAGCCACAATCTGAGCAAATGACCTAGTGTTTTTAATTTCCAGTTGCCTGTTTTGTAAATTGATGATAATTACACTTGATGGAATCCAGTTCAAAGCTAAATGCCTAGAACACAGGTGTTCATTAAAAGGAAGTCATTATTTTTCTTCCTACTCATGAATAGCTGGACATAACAAAGTATAGATTTTTTTAAAGTACCTCTTAAATAATAAATACCATTTTTCCCTCTATTGAGGACTCTTAATCAGGTGAAAAATTAAATAGCAAAATGGGGTTATATGTGTCTTAGTGCCTTGAAAATCAAGGTGACCTGAAGATTTATAAATTAAATATTTTTACTCTTAATGAAGGGATTGAAATTCTTATCAGAACTGAAGAAGTGGTGTTCTTGATTTTTATTTATAAATATTTCTATCGATTCAGCACAAAATCCCATGAGCAGTTATAATCTCATTTAATAAATTAGAAATAATGCTGGCCATAATATGTTTAAAAATAAACAGGAACAATAATGCCACCAGGGTCACTCTGTCTTGGGATCCTGACTCAATAGTTAAATTGTTTTTCTCTTGTTATCCTTCAGATTCAGATAATTGATTAATAACTTGGTTCCTCACATAAATAAGAGTGAAACTTTTAATTCTTTAGAATAGAAAAACATTTTTTAAATTGAGAAATGATGAAGTATCTTTTTGTTAGAAGAGATGTTTTCCCCAGAAGGCATAATAAAAATTAGAAAAATTCCTATTTCATATTAGCACATGTGGATTTCTTTGAGATGGTGCCTGTAGCAGCCTATGATAAACTTGGCAAAGCTAGTTTCACTGGCATGGCTTTATATGAATTCTGTTCTCATAATTATGCACAGTTCTGTGCATTAAATCCAAGAGCAAAAGGCAAGTTTGCCAATATATTCAACCACCCTTCTTTTTATTTCTTTGCCTTAAAATAGGGAATTTCAGTCTAGAAAACAGTTTCATTTTCACCCAAAACCCTGAAGTATAAGCTAAGTGCTTTTCTAGTTTGGACTGCAAAGCCTGTGAAGCAGAAACCAAGAATGTTAATAAAGTGGGATTGAAACGTCAGAAGGAAATCAGAGCTGATGAAACATTTTCTTTTATAGAGGATGAGATCACAATTAAATATGTACAAATGAAGTTTATATGTGTAGAACAAATCTTCTTTGAAGACATAGGCCCTCTGGGATTTCTGAATCAAGAGCACGCGTTGGTGGTTTATGAAAGCCCACATTTCCTCTGCAGATACTGTGCCTTTTCCATGGTGACTCACAGAGCTGTTTCATATACCTTAAAAAATAGACAAAATAAATCAAAAGGGAGGGAAATGGAATGTTCATCTGCAGATTGATTCAATCAGTGATGCAGGGAATAGAAAATGTAGCAGGTTTAATTTGAATATGGAGCAATTATATGGAAATTTCTAACAAAGGTTACTTTCAAATTCTAAATCAGACAGCAAATTTTTTTTGCAACTCAACCATCTTGGGCTAAGTTCTTTCTATCCCCCACAATTCACTGAAAAATGCATCACCGCAAAACCCAGTGCTCAAGTAATTCAAATTAAACTTATTTTTCTAAACAAGGGATGGCTGGATGCCACCTGGGCCTTGGCATGCTTGGTTGGGTATTTGGTCCAAGTGAGTTTCGTGTACCCATGTTGTTTTTAGCTGTTTAACATACCATGCTTCCCTTAGACTACTTTCTGGTCTGAGACTTAAATTATATCTTGAAGCAATAGCAAATGGATTCATTCCCAGTGTGAGATACTGTTATTGATCAGAAATTTAGACATAATGATATAAAAACTTATAGAATACTGTTTTCCCTCTACCT